GAGGAGTTCAGCACAGATCAAATCTGTGGAAAATATGACAGCTTTTGCAGACTGAGGACCACAACCCATCTATTTGAGTAAGGACTCACAGGTGCAGCAAAAGACCAGGTTCCTCTTGGTAGAGTGAGCTCTTCATCAGATATCAAGTCTATGCATGAAAATACCAACAACTGTGCTGTCATGAGCTAAAGGATAAATCTAAAACTATTTTTAACCTCACAGTCTGATGTAAAAAAAAATAATTCTTTTCTTATCAAGGTAACCTTCATTGGGAGAGGTAGTAACTGAAATACCTAGTATACAGCAGTTATAGCGATTATATTGTAGATTGAATTCAATGTGTTTTGGTCAAAAATTTAATCAGAATTTTCTAGAGTGGCATTTATATTCTTCAATGAGTGAATAAGGCAAGACTATTTAGATTATATATATAATAGTGCAATACAATCTGTTTCAAAATTTCCCCATTTTTAATATATATTCTACAGTTTTACTAAAGGTCTTATAAAATATAAAAATAAAATATTATTATAAAATATAAAACTGGGTAGTATTTTGGTATTCTTCTGGCGGTAAAGACAGAAATCTCAAATAAAAAGAAGTTATATGCCTTACACATGAAGGAAGGCACTGCCTTCCTGATACCACTCCTCAGGCCTAAGAAGCCTTAGAATATAAATTAAAAAAAATAGTTATATAGGATCAGCCCTCATTCTCCACTCAGTTCTGCAGCCCATCTCGGCAATAGTCAAGCCCAGATGTCACAAAAGATGACAGAAGAAAACTCAAAGAGAACAGACGTGGGATCACCAACTTCTGAAGACTTGCAATCCCTAGTAATCAAAGATGGTCTTCAGTCTAGAAGTATATGGTTTTATATCCTGTCCCCTTATTTTCTTTTCTAATTGGTCCTTTCAGCTTATAGAATTTTCCTGTATTCTTGGAAGGCTAGAGAAGAATGACTGAAGGAGGTAAAAAGCTTCTGCAGAGAACTGTTAAAATGTCAGAAACGTCAGTTACCAGAAAATCATAAAAAATTGGAGGACTGAAAGAGTTTCTTAAATTGAAAGCTACATGATGCAGCAGAGGCACCATAAGCTGGACAGAAATTCAAGTTCAGGAATAAGGCAGACAGCCTGGGAATGCAACTGAAAGCAGGCTTTGAAAACCTGAGACTCTCTGCAGGAGAAGGAGAGTGGGTTTGTTTCTCTGGGCATAGGATAAAGGCACCACAATCTCACAGAAATGTGGCATCCACTGACATTCCATCTATAGGATTGTTTTCAGTCTGTACATACATACACACATATACATGAGGATATACATGTGTTTTTAAATATGTTGTAAATTCAGAAACTGAAACAATCTGCAACACATTTTCAATTTATTAAAAAAAAAACCAGAACAGAAAAGGCAGTAACTGCGCCCGAGCTGGAAATAAAATATATATAAGTCTTATTAAAGACCAAGCAGAATTCCCTGTGCATACAGACTTATAGAAGGCTTTCAGGGAATTAAAGGTTATCTTTAGCATTTCAATTGTTATTTTGGATTGTAAAAAAATGTATTTGACAATGATCAGAACTGGCAGTCACGCTAGTAATTTGATATACATTAACAAGTGATGTGTTAAAGGGAAAGATCTGATGTAAAATTTTACAGAAATCTTCATGTGTTGCAGATTATCATATAAGTCACAACTGTATTTTCTGTTTATATTCCTTCAAGTCCTTACATTTATCATGGAATGATAAATTAAGCTGGATGTAGCTGTTGAAAGCAAAGAAAATCCTTCATTGTCAACAAAGGATTTACACAAACATTTTCAACTTGATCCTTAGATCCTGTAGCTCAAGATATTATTAGTACTTTCAAGAACCATGTGAAGGATTTTCCTGTGTAAAAGAAAATGTAACCTTGTGAATAACAAGTAAATTATGGGATATTTGTATTATGGTAGTAAAGTCTGGGTTTTTTTTATGTATAGCACTGTTCTCACAAATTATGTGCTTTGCTACATAAGTTCCTCCTAATTACAAAAATAGTTTTTCCAGGTAAAAATAAGTGCAGCTGTTCTAAAATCTGTAAAGATACACATAAACTGTTCCTCCACTTAACAGAGTAATACTTTGAAAGACAATAATGAAAAATTAAATAATTAACTATTGTGCTTTCCAGTGTCCCAGTTCAATAAAAAGCAGTCATACAAATCTTTCAGGATTTCAAAGAGTGTTTTGATTGCTTTAAATGATGCACATCTTGAAATTCAAATGAAGTAGTGATGCAATTTTAATTGAGCAATTAAAATAATTTTTCATGGTTTCTAAATGGATTAGCTCTAAAATTACTTGTCTACTGAAAAAACACTTCTGCAGAGCAGTTACCCGATATCACATTTCCAGACAATGCCTCCTTTGTCATCTTGTGCTGTTTCTCGTTCTCCTTCAAATGTTTACTGAACACAGCTGCCTTTTGAACTCATTTACTGAAAAGAATTTATATGTCTGTTTAGTACTGTTCAAAACCTTTCCTTTAGTAAATCTGCAACAGAATTCCTGTTACAGATAAATAACATCTAACTCCAGTACACAATGCAACACTTGGGGTGTTCGAAATTAACAACACATTCCATATTTTGTGCCTTATCCTTAAGCCCATTTATAACACAATTCCCTTGGAATAGAAGGAATTACAGTATCATTAGGAATTTACTGCAGCTCAGAACTACCATGAAGAACATGGCTGAAACTCAGACTTGGAGAAATGGATAGCAATGATAAGCAGTTACTTCAGTTCACTTTCTGCAACACATTGCTTCATGGAACAAGCTTTCTTTCACCTACTGAAGCTTTTTTCCCCCTAAATTATACTAGCAAAAGCTTGTGCTTAAAGAAAATATTTACTATGATGTTCACCTCTAGATCTTTCCTTATTCAAAGTAAAAATAAGGAAGTTTTCTCTCCCTGATGTGAAGCACAGTGGCCAAACTATTCTGCTGGAAATATTGGCAAAAGGAGGATAGAAACTAGAAACTGAAATTCTGAATTTTCAGTGGTTCTGATATGAAAGAAAGCCTTAAAAAAATTCTGGAAACTGGAAAACTGCTCCCCCTCAATGTATTAGAAGCTTCACTGTATCCTGTTTCAGAAATTAAATGTGTTCCTAGCTATCTGGGGTGACTGGGTGAAACTATCAGTGACTACTCTGAAGTTATATGGTTGTATACATTATTCCATGCATTTTCTCATACAAATGCTCCTATTTTTGTGGTTTAAACTTCACATACTCTTAAACAAGCTCTTCACTACTTCAAAACATGTCTCTAAAAGCCTGTCCTATGTGCATAATTCTTTGCTTTGAATGTTCTGGTTGGTCTTTCAGAAGAAACTAGTTACTGTCAATTGAATATAATTATATTAAAAAATATCCACTCTGAGGCTAGTTGTTTCAACAAATTATTTATCTGATGATTGCTTTAGTTATGTTTGTGTCTCTTATCTGTTTAGATAGCGAGGTGTCCAGAACTACATTTTATTTTGCATTTATAAGGTATTCATGTAATGAGTGATCAACTGCTATATGAGCCTCTTTGCAGTGCCAAGATATAAAGTGAGTGAAAAGCACTAAGTTAATAGGAGGACTCCAGGGAATGTTATTCCTGTTTAAAAGCATGAGAAAGAGACAGCTTCATGAAAACTGGTCTTACAATCTAATATGCTGATTAAGCCAATGCTACACAAAATGGAGACAGTAACTTGGTCTCCTTCCTCTATTCTGCCCTTATTTGCATGAAAAACCCAAATGTATTTTGGAGCTTTCTTGCTGTCTATTAAATTTATTGAAACTAGCCAACGGGTTTAAAAGTTGCTGGCTGGATTACTGACAGAGGGACACAGCAGGATTTCCTCAGGAAGTCAGGCTTATCAGACTGTTCAAAATAATAAAAAATGAACTACATTTAATTTTCAATTTGCATTGTATGAAACTAAATAAAATGGTTGCAGAACTGACCCTTTTTCACTTTTTATGATTTTACTCCCCTCCCTCCTTTCACATGAATAGTTTCAATTTCCCTTCTGAGATTATTTTTTCTCAGATTGTCAGCTTGGCAACTATTTGAACTAATTCTTTAAAAATCACACTTAAGATATTTCTTACTTATTTTCCTATATAAATATGTGAAACATTAAAATGTAGTTTCAGTATATATTTCTGTGGCTTGTTTTAGTTTTACTGTAAAAGTTCCACAAAGAGAATTTCTTTTGGGCTGAATGCTGACTTTCCTGTCATAAAATGATAAAATATGGTTCAATATATGCTGCCTTATGCTATTTTGGATATAAGGTTAATTTTCAGGTAACACTTAATCATACAGGTATTTACCAAAATACGGAAAAATTCACTATCTTCAGCCACATTGCTATAGTTATTTGTAGTTCAACAAACACTGTTCTTATAAAACTCTTATGTTACAACCGTAATTACCTAATGGACAACATTACCAAATGTGTCAGATTGTTTTAATTAAATTGAGTATAGGGGTACTTCCTTTTCACCTACTCTGTCATTATTTAGCCAAAGAAAACACATTTAATACTGTCGGATTTCCATCATAAATCCTTTCCTTCAGTTTTGTAATTTTATTTGTACCATTCTCTGAATTTCCTTTAAATCTTTAAATATTTCTGCTATATTTTTTCTGAGAACAAAATTTAATTTTAGGTGCATGATCTTGTCATCACAATAAAGAAAAGGATACCTTTTCATAAATATGCAATATCTGAGCACCAATGTAATTTTAATTACTGTCACAGCTCTGCCTTTTAAATATGTTCAGCACTGTAATTCTGAATTTCTCAGTGCTCTTCAGTCTTAACAGAATGCTAAGAGTGTAGAGTTCACTTTCCACCTCCATACCAGCTGTTCCGTTGCCTTATTTCTCTTTTCTTTTTTTTTTCATAAAGGTAAGCAGATGAGAAGAGGGTCACGGCTGAACTTACCAAGAGTTCGGAAAGGTCTTTGGTTTGGTGTATGGGAGAAGAAACCAGGTTTCAAAGCATTTGTGATTAAAATGTCAAAATACTCTTCGAAATCGTTCCTAGAAAGTAAAGGAAATTTGATTAGTTAAACTAATGAATTAGCTAACTACTAAATACTCTTTAAGACTTAAGAAAATATCAAAGCACTTCTTTAAGGCACTTGCTTCTATCACATTTTTTTCCCCAATACTTGTTCCATGTCACTGTTGCCCACCTTTTCCTGAGGTTGCCAAAAGGGAGTCAAACCCACAGTGCTGTATCTTTGAGATCACTCATTATTAGTAAAAAGACGTTCCTCGATCTCAGGAGAACATGTAATAGATGACATATCTTAATTTCAGATGGTAATATATGCATAGATATACACAGAAAGATATAAATGAGGGACTTTCTTCACAAAGAAGAATATATGAAGTGAAGCGATGGGATAGGAAGCAACTGAAGTCACTTAAACACAGGTGCTTATGTGGTTGGTATCCATAATGTAGGTATGCACAGGTCTAATGGGTATCTAAGATGCCACTGGCAGACAACAGAGATCTAATTAACCAAGTCAATGAAATGTGGTTTCACATACCCTAAAGTTGAAATGCCATTTTGATAGCTGAACTCCTTCTTCAGACTCCACTGGCTGCTCTCACTAAATCCCTGCTGGTTACAGGGAGGTTAGACCTGTAGGTGTTAGTTGTTACAAATAAACACCTACCAAGTTTGAGTCTTAATCTGCCAGCTGAATCCCACTACTAAATTCAGGTTTTTCAAAGCTCATTAGATCCCTATAAACATATTGGTATTTGAACTGTGGAAATCCCATCAATTTAAATGAGATTGAATGTTTCAGCATGGTATGTAAGAAAATGTAAACATCTCTCCCCTATGATGTATTTTATTTTATTAGAATTGTTTCATTGCTTAGGTGACTTTATTGCCTATAACATACAAAAATGATGGATACTCTTGCATGGAACAAAGAAATCACAGACGGCAAGTTGAGGATGGCCATAGGCACTGACATGCTGCATTGGGTCTAGCTGAGCTGGAGTTTATTTCCCCACAGTAGCCCTCACAGTTCTGTGCTTTGCATTGGTAGCTAGAAGGGCATTAATAACACACCAGTGTTTTGGCTACTGCTGAGCACAGCATCAGCACTGTAATATTCCTTCCTCAATAGAGGGCAAGATCCCAGGAGGGGACACAAGTAGGCCAGCTGACCCAACTAACCAAAGGGGTATTCCAGACCACGTGACATCAGCTCAGATATTAAAGCTAAGGCAAGGAGCAGGAAGGGGGGCATTAATTGTCTCCAGTGGTTGCCTGTTGAGGAACTGTTACCTGTGCTGAAGCCCTGCTGCTCGGGAGTGGCCGACCATCGCTGCTCATGGGAAGTAGAGAATAACCGTGTTATCCTTCACTTTTGCTTTAAATAAACTGCCTTATCCCAACCCACAAGTTGCTTTCCACCTTACTGTCTCCCCTGTCTGGCTGGGAAGGGGAGTGATAGAGTGGCAGGGTGGGCACCCAGCTTCCAGCCAAGGTCAACCTGCCACACATGCTATCAGCAGCAGAGGAAGTAAATTATAACAGTGTCACTTCCAAAAAATCCACAATCCTACATGGGACTGAGATATCTTAACTCAAAAACTGAATGCTCTCCCTATGAGCTTATCTTCAAGCTTTTGTTTTGTGCTCAAAATTACATTCCGCCCTTAAAATAAAAGTCCTTTAAATTTCCTTCCTCTAATTAAATTTTAGCTTTGCCTGTTTTTCTACATTTGTGACCATATGCAAACCTTTACCTTTTTGAAAGAAGCAACATCAAATATGACAATGTTGTGTTTTAAAAATGTGCTTCTGTGTGGAAAATTCCAGAAGCTGAGCAAACAGGCAAGGCTCTTCTGTCCTTAGGTGAAAAGTATTGACGGAGATAAACTTTTCAAATTAGCATACAGTGCAAATAATGCTTCCATAGGGATGTTAAGCTTGAACTTGTAAAATAAAGCAAGCACTTCAGGAGCACAATGGAGAACAAGTAGCAAGTGAGAAGATGAGAGGAAATAGCCTCAAGTTACATCAGAGGAGGTTTAGATTAGGTATTAGGAAAAATTTCTTCACAGAAAGGGTGGTCAGACATTGGAACAGGCTGCCCATGCAAGTGATGGAACCACCGTCCCTGGAAGTGTTCAGATAATGTGTAGATGTGCCACTTGGTGATACGGCTTAGCTGTCAACACAGAATTGCTTAGTTAACACTTGAACTCAATGATCTTATAGGTCTTTTCCAACTTAAATGACTCTATGATTCTATGATTTGTGGGAACAGTGGCAAGTGCTTTGTATAAAAAGAATTGAAACAGAACAAACAGTGTTTTCAAAAGATTTCTTAACTTTTTATTGCTCTGTTGTAGAAAAACATGTTTGTATGTTTTGTGTGAGGAGATGTGTTATCTGTGGCCTTTTTTGAAACATATTAAATCTCATGTACAAAGCTACTAGTTTTATGAGAGACGTGCTACATTACTGTGTAACAATACACATAAATCAAATCTGTTCCAGTTACTACCTGGTAGAGTGGCCTGTGGTTACAGCAAACAGCTAAGACAAAGGGTAGGATGTATCTCACATAACTTTAACCATCTAAAAATTGCACACTGAATTCACAGATAGCGATTGACACCACAGACAGAGCCAATGGAGAAACAGTCACATTCTTAGAAGGTAATTCATCCCACTCGTTTCAGACATAATTCTACCATACAGAATGAATTGCCAAGGCTATGCCCAGTGTTTTCTCTCCAGTAACCACAGAGGGAAACGAAATGACCAGCTTCAAAAAATGTTCAGTTTTTAGATGGCTAACATTCCTGAAAAGTGAAATGACTCCTGACTTCAGTGACTATGTGATGATTGACTCGTCTTTAGGTGTGCTCCTGCCAACACTTAAAACATTCAGTTAAGTGGACAAGCATTCTCATGACAGGTAAGACTGAAAAGTCACACCGTGATGCTCCTTGTGTGAATGAACTGGCACTTGCTTCTGTAGGTTTACATGCCTTATACACTGGTCCCAGCAGTACGTGTGTGCTCTGGCTGGAAAACAGTTCTAATTTTATTTCAAAATGAAATTTTCTCTTACACTTCCTCTCCCTACCAAAATGTCTTTTAGCTAAGGACAATTTGGCCAGATGAACACAACTGGGATATTTTGATTATTAAATGGGTAAATGATACACTTAAGCATGAATTTCCCAGCACAGATTTTATGAAGACAATAATTTCTTAGCCAAAAAGGAACTTAAAAAAGTGCAAAAAAGCAAACAGCTACAAGGTAAGGATATTAGGAGTAGGAGGCTAAAATTTTACATGCATCTCTGTTTATCATTAGGGTTTTTTTATTTATTACAGTTTTGGACTTCTCAGTATCACACTGCTTAACTGAAAGAACAAGGGTAGAAACTAATAAAGGACTATGTAGATGCAATTAGTAAGGGCTGATGTGAAGAATAAAATGCAGTTAGCCTGGTCAAATTAAAGTTAAGGGCAGAGATAATAGGTGTGAACCTAAACTATATTCCAGTACAGCAAAAAGCAGCACAGGTAAGTAGAGTCTTTTTGTCCGATACAAGAGGCATGGAACAAACAAACTAATAAAAGCTTAGATTTTTAGGAAAAAACTCCACTTCAGTAATGTGTAATGGACAGTGGAGTACTCCAGAAAATACTTGGAAGCCACACTGCATGAGTCGCTGGAAAACACGATTGTAATAAATACCACAGAACATCCTACCCTTATGTGGAAAGAGAGAGTGATGCAATATCCTTCTAGCAGAACTCTCTTTCTGTCTTTTGAAAGGTAATTGATCGGCTCTGATACCTTACTTACTGTGTTCCAGCAGGATTTCTACAGCTGCCTGAAACAGCTGAAACACTATTCACCAAGGAAAAGAAAGTCAAAATCAGTATATGAGGCCAAGAAGTTACTTTTGTACCGAATTTTCATTTAGAAAACAGCTAGACCGGTCTACACAAAAGAGTTAATTCACAGGCATCTTACTCATAAGGAGAACTGCTTTTTGTGAGGACGTAGATTTACCCTTCAAACAAGTAAGTATAATGTTCATGTGAGGCAGTGAGAACTGGTACAGTGAATGCTTCATTTAGCATTTAGCCTAGAGAGTACAAAAGGGAAGTGATACTGGCAGGACTGGTTTTGGAGGATAGCTCTGTTTTTTACCTCACCACTTGTTTTCTTACTATGTTACCATATTCACTCCCTGGCATATCCTGTGTTAGCCAATGTTGGCTCACATTGAAATACTTTGTTTCTTAGATTAATAATAAATTAATAGTCTCACCCTGTCACCCCCCTAACTATTTGCATCACTGATTAATTTTTTTCTAGGTATGTAAGTGATGGTTCTATTGAATTTCACTGAATTTGACTTGACCAGTCATGTTCTTTACCTTACACTAAAAATAGCTGTTGTGATCAGCAACTACATTTCAACTAGTTGCCAAGTGCAAAGAACTGCCCGTTTTATCTTTTCTGCTGTGATCTGTAAATGCACATTTCTCAAGCACAGCCATCTTTTGGAAACCACCAATAGAAGAAGTATTTGTAAGCTTTTCCTGCGAATTTGCTACAAGGAAATGAAATAGTACTACTAGCTGCACTTACTGCTGGAGAAGCACAAGAAAGGAAGTGGCTTAAATAAGACAGTCTAGTAAAAGTTTATGATAAAACTGGGATTCAGATGATGTACTGCGTGTTGGCCTGACATATTCAATCCCATAGTGATGCCCTCAAAAAGATGCAGCATATAAGTGTGCTCTGGGTCAGATACAGCTCACAGGCTCAGAGATGCACGATTTTGTCTCGACTACCCTGTCACACTTTACCAGAGAGGGGCCCATCAGAAATCTCAGAACCAAATAATTCACAATACTTTAAGAAACTCCAATTAGCTTCCCAATAGCTCAGGCTTATCTCCAGTTGCTGTCTGGCAGATATAATTTGAAATGGACCTTGCACTTACCCAAGAACATGTTCACACAGGAGCCTGCAATAGTCACTGTGAGAACTTGTAATTAATAGTAGAATCTTCCCAGCATTTTTCAGTTGTTTCAGCCACTTTTTTACAGACTCTGGACATCTCTGTAAATATTTGTCTGGATGATTTTTCACTTCTGGGAAATATGTCCCACAGTTTTCTAAAAAAATTAAAACATAATTATGTTATCCAATCCTTCTCACAAACCACTTAATCCACACAACAAATATCCTTTTATGTGCAGACAACAAATTTAAAAAAGGTAAAGAAAAGTTTAATATTTTCCCTGGGCTGTAACGCAATATTAACCAAAAAAATCCAATCGAACCAAGAGGACATGCTGTAGCACAAATAAATTTGCATGACTTTTCTCTTTTATTATGGAATTGTCATAGTTATTTTCTTTGATGTTCTTTTGCTCATAACAGTTAATAATACAGAATTTACAGATTATAGTTTTATGCAGGAAATAATTATTTCTTGTTGTCTTTGCTCAATTTTTGGATCCTCAATTTGTGATTGTAAAATGAGTTTACTGTTTAGACAGTGGTAAGGACCTGAAATTCCCAAGAACACCTTTCAGTTACTTCTGACACTTTAGTTTAGCACTGTCTGATCAATAACATTCATTTTGTAATTTTTGCATGTTTCACCAATAGCACTTTATCTATGAAAGACTGATAAAACTGGCAAAGATTCATAAGTATTTTGAATACTAGGAACAGATGCAAAAACCCCCTGAGTTCCAATTCCAGCTTCAATAATGTTCCTTTTGCCAAATAAAGCTGTAATAGAATTTTGCAAATACACTTGGAATGCAAGATTTCTACAAATGTACAACAACACTAACTTGGCAGTAAAAGTTACCTATTCATTTAAGTCATCAATAAATATTTATCTTATTATAGCCCATATAGTTGCTTTACCAAGATTTCAAATGAAACTTACCTATGTATTTCCTCTCAAACCCTCTATAACCAAAACTGTTAAGCTAGTTAAAGGTTTAAAAAGAAATATAATAATTGCAGAGACAGAAATGATACCAAGTATTTGGCTCTCAGTCTGTCTGTGTTATAGTATAATGAACATCATCACAGATTATTTTTCTTCCAGCACTTGTTCTATATGCAACTGTCTGTGGTCAACTTTGCTGAATGATTTAATAAATCCCAGACATTACTTAGCCTTCTGGTATGTGAGTAATGCTGTTCTGTAGTTTGAAAAAATAAGATTTAAACCACTTGAACTTTAGCTATTTAATGAAAGAGAACATGTATGTTTGAACCAGTAGTATCAAAGAAAGACTGAAAGATGCTAAACATAACACTCTTTCATATATTACACAATCAAACATCTACAGATGGCAGAGAACAAAAGTCTTCCAAAAGAAGTTTCAAATTGGCTGTTATCCCTGCAACTAGATAGAAGCAAAAATATATTATTCTGCACTACGACTTGACAGATTTCTTCCAAAAAAGTGGACTACTATATCTGAGGAAAGTCTCAAACAAAATCTCCCAACTCACAACCATGTCACTATTCCAGTTCTTCACTGTATTTAGGTCAGGCTGTGTAACAGCATGTACCAGTGGAATATGAGCCTGTTCCTGCAGCCGGCATTAGGGGATGCCATGACATTTGCCTTGAGAGCTAGCCAAGAACGATGATTTTTTTGATTAAAGAAAGCAGGTTGACAAAGGAAGGTTTCCTGTTGTGTTTTCCCTCCTTCTTTCCTGAGGCATGAATATTGTTTGGGATGAGCAATAGAGTTTCTAGGAGCAGAAACTGCATTTTTTTCAGTATTATCCTTAGTAATTATATTTTATATGCTATGCTATGACAATTTTTCTTCTTTGGTGTTTTGGAAAGCACATAACATTAGATGAGAAAGAAGTGGGACACAAACAAAGCAGGTTTGCCATTAACTCTCACAAGTTCAAACAATTAAAAGAAAGATGGCAAGGTTCATTTATATAACCAGTGACCTACACTCTTTTTACTCTCAAACAAAAAGATCTGTTTTACATGGACTTTACTCTTGGACACTGTTTTTCTTTCCTTATGAAGCGCCTTCCATCCTCCATGACCATTCTTTGATGCACAATTTAAAGACTTTCAGTTAATTTAATCAACACTGTCGTCTTTGTCCAAAATCTGTGCAATATCTTCTATGTGATAAATTTATTATATTTGGTCTTTGAATACCATCTGCACTGGAAAAGGCCAACAACTCTGGATTCAACACATGAGCTGAAAGAGAGTCTTATTCTGGCTTTCTATCCAGGCCCTGAAGCCCAGCTGTTAATTGAAGACAAGCAATGAATCAGTTCTTGACACTGGGATCTGAAGTTTGCCTCTGGGCTGTTTGCCATATTAGGCAGAGGTAGCTCAGAAGAACCCTCATTAAAGCATACTCTACTGTAATTAGGCAAGCATGGCCCAGGAAAGTAGAGTTTGACTTAATTCCTAACATACCTACTGCATCTGGTGAAGACAGTTGGTGGAATACATACTCATATCTGTAAATAAGTTTAACCACCAAAACCTGCAAGATTTGATTGAAAGCCAAATAAAAGCTGAAAAACTTGCTAGTTTTGAGGAGTACAGAAGAGCCATAGGCATCTTGTTGGCAAAAAATGTTGTGAAAGCTTTAACATGTGATGGAGAAATAGCATCATGTCAAGACTTCAAAATAAATGGAATGATTTGCTAATGACAAAGTAAGCATTGTTTTCCCAGTATGCCATATGTTGCACTTTGTTTTTCTATATCAGGCAAACCATAAAAATCAGAAGAAAACTCTATCAAGCAAAGCATCAGTGAGAAATTAGAAGAGAATTAATTGTAACAGAGCCAACAGAGGAAAGGCAAAAGTGAGTTAATAGTAATGACTTCTATGCAACTTGCATACAGCTTCACTCTTGAAAAAGAAAACAGTAATTCTTCAGAAAAACACCATTCTTGAGAAATAAGAAATTTCCCTAGGTTGCAATATTTCCCTGATAATGCTTATGGGCCATCCAAATGGCAAAATACTCTTAAAAATGAAACTATAAGCACGCTTTAGAAGTTTGGTTGGTCCACAAATTCACTGTATCAAAATGAGGGATTGTTGTCACCACCAGATATACAACTGACAGTTTGCTATCAGTATAGTGCCTAAAATAAAATCTCTACATTTTTGTCTCTCTGTTTTGTACATATCACTTAACATGCACCTTTATGGACATTGACATGTATTAATGCATACCCACAAATCAGTGAAAACAAAACAGTAACAAAACAACTGTCTCAACTTTCATCTCAAAGTCTTTTGTTTGCAGTTACCTTCAAGCATGTCAAAGCCTACACGAGAAACCTCTGGCTCTTTGGCAATGTGAACACTTACTATATGAGAAAGTATTTAATAAATAAAATTGAAACAAGAAGACCATGACAATCAACATAACAATCAACATATTTACACCCTGTGATTTTATGAGAAAATCCAATGACGTGGAGCAGGAAATCAAAATCTAAGCATTTTATGCACAGCTTTGTAATTTATTACATATATATATGTTGCCACGGAGCAAATGCAATTTTTTTCAATTTCCATTCTTGTTACCAAACAACTTGGAGTTTATCTGAAATCTCTGAAATAGAGCCTGGGATAGCAAATTATCAACTAGCCTCCGTAGGCATTTATAATCATCTTCCAAATACACTTTCAAAAATAATAATTGCCTTTGCAGTCCATCGAGTATCCTTTCAGAAAAATATATTTCCTTTTTAAGCAGAAGATGGAAATATAAGCAATTAAAATGAGTTGTCTAGAACTGCTACATATTAAAGTCCTGCCAAAGCCTCTAATCAGGTTGACATTCTGTTGTATTTTCAAAGCAATATAATTTATTTCTTCTATGTACATTATCAGAGACTCCCTTAGTGTCCAGTTTGGATTTTATTTTTGCTTGTATCATCTGACATTATAATTTAATCAGGATGTTCTTTGCATAGTCTTGCCTTGCAGTTTAATTGCACCTAACATAGTTGTGATGGCAAGTGTGATGGGGATTATATATAGGTGGAAATGCAGAACCCCCAGACCAAACTCAAAAAGACCCTGTACAGTGCTTGTCGTGACTTCCAGCACAGACAATAATCCAGTCCTTAATCCAACTGCCCTATTCTATTACAGTTGCAAAATTACTTTATTGAAGTATGCAGTTCGATGTTTTAATATAATATCTGTATTTGTGGAAAAAATAATTGTGGATTTCTCTTGTGCTCTGTATTATACCACTTCTCCTTGGCAGGATCAGTTTACATCTACTGGCTCTGGACTCCTTTGGACTCAATGTTCGTAAATGCGCACTGCCAGTCCACTGCAGTTTTCATCCCTTAACTATTATTTGGATTATAAAATGGGCAAATGTTCAAGAGGCATGTTTCTGGCAAGATTTCAGTCCAGAACTAAAACACAGGAACTCAGGGAATTTTTTAGTATTGTCACTGCTTCTAAGGGGCACCTACTTGATTGAATTAAAAGTAATTTATCCGCTACTTACACGATTTAGCTAAGCAGAGAGGTATGAGGCTGAAAAAAAGTCCCTAGAATTCAGCCAAGAAAAATAAACTTTCAGCTGCCAATTAGTAGCTTGTATTTAGTGGCTTTAACAATCTCTTACAATGGAAGTATTATTTGAGAATGTGACTTTCTTTTAAACTCCAAGGCAATATGATAGCTTAGCTATCAATACCCATAGCCAGATTCTCTGCAGCTCTGACACCAGCAGGAAGTTCTTCTCTAATTTTTATCTGAATGCAGGCTTGTCGGTAACAGTTATCGATTTGACTAACAGAGTAAAGCTGCAATAATGTGTTACAATCAGCAACGATACAGACAACTATATTCACTGTATATTGCTATACCCCCCATCTTACTGTACTTCAGGTTTTTAGAGTGAAGAGACACCTTTTTGACCATTGTTGCTGTCTTTTTCTCTTGTCCAAATAAACAAATCTAACAAGTATCATGAGCATTCAACAGAAACACAAGAAAAATACCTTAATCACAGAAGGTTCTGCAAAAGAATTTAAATTTAATCTAATGCAGGCAAGTAGAGAAGAAAGGGGGTGATGGTTAAAATTATATTAGACAAGTAGTCTTTCTTTTCC